TGATGTTGTTTTTCCTGAAATATGTTACAGAGTCAGTGGCCTTCAGTTTTGCCTAATATTGTACTTGAAGGATCAAGCCATGCTCCTACTGGTGTTTTCCAGTGGTTGGATGATGATAACTCCAAGACATTCTATGCAATGGTAATCTTTTAAGGACTCATTTTTCGATTGTCACCGATCAGTTCCCCTCCAACCATGTATCACTATTTCTAGGATGAGATAATAATATTGTTATTATGTTCGGGGGCTCTTTTTAGAATTATCTAATCAATCTGATTTGCTGCAATTAGCCCACCTACTGATCCATACAGGTTGGAAGTGATCTTTATCTATATATTTTTAGGTTGATGTCGAATACCATTTACCCTCACCTTTTGTGCCAACAAGGCAATTCCGTTTCTTGAGATGCCTAAAGATGATTCCACCAGGTGTGTGGGTGATTGTTGATTTGTCGGAAGATTATTTCCCTCATACACCTGATTCTCCAATGAAGAATCGAAGGAGGCCTTCTGGGATGATAATCAGGACGCATGATGATTCTTGTGAGGTTAGTGTAACCTTTTCTTTTTTAATTTACATGTAAGATCTTTGCACTTTGAAATTTTGTTTTAATTTTTCAAGGTCTAATCTACTGCATTACTTATCCTTGAATTTTTGAACGTAAACCATTTGCACTTTGGAGTTTTGTTTTACGTTTACAAGGGCTACTTTACTGCACAACTTATCCTTGAATGTTTGTTTTGCCCAATTTGTGGGTTTATTTAACTTGTGCAGGTTATATGGATTGAGAGCGTGGAAGTGGAGACATGTCTAGATCAAAACAATATATTCTCAACTATGGTAAATTCAAACCTGGCATTCTGTGCAAAGCGATGGGTTAGTACATTTCTACAGAGGTTGAAGCGAAGTGTTAGTTCATTTACCAATCTTAAGATACAAGTGGACCACCAAGGTATTCCTTGATTTAGTTCAAGTAGGGTTTTTATATTTCAGGAAGTAGGCAACATTATACAATTTGCAGTATAGATATCTAGTAAGTTTCATTTTTGGAATATTTGTTTACTTCAATATGTGCTATAGCAACGTCAAACTTGATTGATGTACTGTTTACTAAAGGGAGAAAATAGATATAGTTAGCAATCCCTCCTTTTTATTGAAACAAATGGTCGTATTCTGCATAACTCAACTCAATATATATTGAGAGACCCATTTTTTCTACAACTCACGATCTCCTTCTTGCTGTTTAATTGGATAATGATCTGATATTGCCCTGGCTGATCAGGTACTAATTAGGTATGAGTAACTGTGTAATCTGTAAAGTTTCAGTGATTGGATTACATTCTCTTCTCATCTAGTATTTCAATGTTGTTTTTTGTAGTGGATATCATGATAAAATTTTGTAAACTTTTACCATGTTCTTTTTACCTGATTTATATTTTAAAGTTTGTTTTTGTTTACTTATTTTGAAATTGACCTGTGTTTCACATATCTAAATTGCGCTTATTTACTGTTTACGATTTTTATTGCTTGACGAGAGTTCACTGATTAATCACTTTGTTAACGTAAGGTTCTGGAAGTACTATGCATGGCTGGAGGGTTCATTTTGTTTCTCAGCTTTATATGCATTCTAATTAATGAGTTATACAAAGTATTTCCAAGAATTACGTAATCTTTAACATATTAAAATATACAAAGTAATGTTGGTACTTGATAGTATCAAATGTTAAAGAGTAAAAGCATCACTCTTTTTGTGGTTATCATATTGTCTATGACTGTTGGGATATATTAGGTCCTATATTTTGTAAAATTGCGCTGTATTTACTTTGAAATTGCAAAACTTGTGAAACTAATACATATTAAAATTGTGGATTGTGCAGCTCAAGCTATTATGCTGAAATTAACCGACCGCATGGAGATGATCTTTTTTAATTGTGTTAGTGAAGCTCCCAGTGGATATAGATGGGATATTATATCAGACCAAGGGGTGAGGATTTTGAGGGATAAAGCTGTATACAATTCACATGTGCTGGGTTATAATACTTATGTTGGATTGACTAGCTTCCGTGTGCCAGCAAAACCCCTTAGGGTTTTCAATTTTCTGGTCAAAAGGAACCTTGAATTGCTGGTAACTGCAACTTCACAACTCAATAAAATGTTTTGTGTATGTTAAATTTCTGGTTTCATTCTATATAAACTGCTAACAGATGTAATACATGTTGCAGTGGCCTAGTTTGTTAAATGCCAAAGAACCTGAAGAAGTGATTAAGCTTGTGGCAGAAGACAGTAACTGTATTACTTTACATAGGAAAGTAGTTCCTCAAAATGAGTCCACAGAGGTGCTAATTTTTCACTTGCTCTCACTGATTCATTCTATTGGTGGGTCATAGTGTAAAAGTTTTGCTCACATGATAAGTTTTTATACTTGGCAGTGTTATGAATACATGTTACAAGAGGCTTCGAAAGAGGAATTTTGTTCTTTTGTTATCTCATCGCCAATAACTCAATCAGATATTAAAGCTGCTTTTTCCTCTGCAATGATCACTAAATACTTAAAACCATCAGGTTTCGCAATAATGCCTGATGGGTCAAAGGGCCTTGAGTCTGATGCCTCTCTAGTGACTATTGCTGTGCAACAAGATCTTGATGCTGCAGAAAATGGTGGAGCCATTGAAGCCATGAATAATGTCATCATTGCTATGATTAAAGAGATAAATGAAGAAGGTAAACTCTACAAGAAAGCTATATAATTGCCAAAATTTGAACAGATTTGTGTTCTTAGGATATCTCTTGAATTGAATCCGCAAACGAAAGGTTTTGACTCACAATATGTCAGAGGCTAATATTTTATGTAGGCAGCTCACTAAACCCTCAGCTCAATAAGGTTTTAGTTGATTTCTTGGATGCAGTCATTTTCACATGGTTATCTTCTTGTGTGATAAAAATGCTAATCTGTATGCTGATGTTTGTTTTCTCATCTATGTTGTTGCAGTCATGAGCGATGGAAAAACACCAAGTCAAAGTTAGGACTCCATCAATCTTGAAACGAGTCAAAGTCGTTGTATAGTTTTGATGTGCTCAGTTTTGCAATTCTTATAGTCTCAATTTTACATCATAATACATTGCTAGTTGTACAGTGATGAAACTGACTAAGCAGTTTACATTAGGTTTTGCGGTTGGCTTAGTAATGGGAAGCTTGCTTTACTTATGTTGAGGCAAGTTTGATTTACTAGGTGAATCGAATGGCTACATTTTTTCTGTAATTGCGTTGTTCAGGACAATGGCTATAGCTGTTATTGGATCTTTTGCTTAGGTTAGTTAATATTTAAGACCATGGATTCTTTATATGATCCAAACTCTTTATTATAAAGTGTTTATCCATAGAAATAAGAATCAAACAAACTCTTTATTCTTTAAATATAAATTAAAGGGTGAGTTTGGTTCTTTACATTTATAGAGTCAAATTTTACTCTCTATTTTAATTTTAAATAATAAATTGTAACTTTTTATGTATTTTATTTATGATTTATCTGTCTTATTAATTTTTTTTTTTAAAAAAACATATTATTTTTTCTAAAATTTAAAGAGTCTATTAGATTTTAATAAAAAATTTATTTTTATATCTAAAAATTAATTAAGATGTTTTTTATTTATATAAAAAATATTCTTTAAAATTAAAAATACCATTTAAAATTAAAAACACCATTAGATATGCTTTAAATTCGTTGTGTATTTTTTGTTTTTTTTGCTTTCATCAAATTTTATCTTATAGCAGATAAACTGTTTTCCTCTTTACAGTTGTTTATCTTTATCTCCAATTGGGTACCTTTTTATGAGATTTGTCTCAATCTCTTATTTTAAAAAATTGATCGCCCCAAGTAATGATAACTATTCATTAATGAAGTTGCCTCGAGTAGCTCAAGTGAATGGTTAATTTATTAACTCGGTAGCACAATTAAGGTTGGTGCGCTTTTATACACCTTTGCATTCTCGTCTTTCCAAGTACACTTGTTATTTAAATTTTAAAAATCAAATATTGAATTCAGAATTATTTTCATATATTGAAAATAAAATACACATAAATCATTATGTATATTTAGTTGATTAAATATTGGATTAGATAAAAGGGTGGTGTTATTTAAGTCCTATTAGATACCTTAGTTAAGCCCCATTTTAAATTAATTTTATTAAAAATTTTGATTTAAAAATATAAAAAATGCTACGGACACCGAATGTTGGGACCAAAATTTTGCACCGATCTATGTGACATTTGACTCGAAAATAACCATGTAGGATACAACACAGATATTCAATAAATGAACGATTGTCCAATAATTATGAACGTCTGTCCATATCTTAGGGATAACCATTCATCACGAATAGACGAGAGTCCAGAAAATATCAATAAACTCCTGTCCATATATTATATATATGGACGGAAGTCTGTTTACTATGGACGGCTATCCATATAATTTATACTCAAATAATATATTTTTTTTAAATTTATAAAAACTTATAGCTTGTCTAAGAAGCTTCTACAAATAAACGTCAAAATGTTTAGAAAATATTCATTTTCAAAGCACACAATTTTTAGATGACATAAAGGAAAACAAAAAACTTTGATTTTTAAAGTATAAAGTATGGACGCCAGTCCATGGCCGTATTTGTTTTCATTTATAAAAAAATGCAAAGCAAGAGAGAAATGAAGAACTAGATAAAAAGTACTCACAATGTAGTGTTGGAGTCTAGGATAGCAACAATGAATACGAAGAATGGTAGCAGATGGAGATGAAGAAGATGAAGAACGGTAGCAGATGGAGACGTAGAAGACAAAGAACATCGGTAGAAGGCTTTTGTTTTTTAAAACCTGTTTTGGAAACCCTAAATTTTCAAACATTCTAATTGAAAATTTTAAAGAATTTTTTGTATTAAACTAGAATTTTAGTATGGTTTGTTTTTAAACATTTTTGAATCTATATTATATGGACAAAAGTTTATTAATATTATCATAGATGATCGTCTATTCATAATGAACAATCGTTCATAATATATGAATGATCACTCGTAAAATATGAATGGTTATCTATTTACAGAATCAGTATATTTTATCCAACGTGATCATGTCTTAGTGATGCCAAGTCATTCGGTAACAAATTTTGGTGCACAAATTCTGTAGCGTTATTGCTTTCATCGATTTGAAAATAATAATGAAAACACGCAAGAAA